TGTACGGAAAGCAACCAGCGTCATGCTACTCATGGACTCTGAGCATCTCACGGCCGCCAACACGAGGAAGCGGCTACTCTTACGGCAGACACTCGCAGCGCGTGAGCGGAAAACAGAACTTGAAAGGGAAATGTACTTTGTGAATAGCTTACTCTCAAGCCACCTTCATCGACATACGAAATCGCCGGTACTATGGGGCCACAAACACTGGCTTCTGCGGCAATATCTGGAAGCAAAAGTGCCCATGGACCTGATGCACGACTTCGAAAGCGTGGTTTTTGTTGCAGCAGAAAGACATCCCAAGAACTATTACGCATGGACATATGCGAGGGACTTGTTCGTCTCCAGAGCTAAAGTCAAGCCAGACTGGGACGCGGAACACGACGAAGAGCTTACGAAAACGACAACCAAATGGTGTCGCCTTCACCATGACGACATATCAGGCTGGTCGTTTTTGCTGCACCTCGCATTGGGATCCCCACAGCACGCACAAGAGATATTCAGGCAAACGGCAAGGCTGGTGCAGACCTACACTTGGCGCGGAGAGTCGGTGTGGAATTTCCTGCGGACCCTGGTGCTGGTTCCTGCCATGAGAGACGACTCGGAAATTAGGCAGAGTTTTGTTGATTTGTGGCATCATGTGCGACAAGACATACGGGATGCCCAGAGCCTGGATGCCAAAATTTTGGATAGAGCTGCGGCCTGGGCCGAAATACCCAGAGTATAAGACGCCGTCCCGGTCCGGTCTGGAATGGAGGCCATTTCCCGGTGGTATGACGGTTGAAGTCCGATTCAGTTTAAATCAACTTGCGTTCGCGTGGATCGTCGTGAGTTGTAACCTATACCATGACCGCGACAACGATTTTCAGCAGTTGTAGCGGGACGAGCAGAAAGTGATAATAATAAAAATAAATATTACTCCGTACTGGAGTTCTAGAATTCATGTCTCTCTGCTCAGTCTCGGTGCCTTGTAATATCCGTTGGTGGAATGTCAACGGCTGTGTAGGTAGACTACATTCCGCAGGCGGTGCTTGTTTGATCGACACGTGGAATACTCTCCGGTGGCCATGAATGTGATTAACTCTGAGTAATTTCCCATCAAGCCACAGATAAATTAACAAAGAGTAGTCTGAAGTTGCTTGCCGTGCTGCTCCCGCATACACCTCATGGAAAGCAGCAGGATCTCAGCAAACGCCAGGCGACGAGAGGCGGAGGAACCAGAACGAATCATTGCGATAGACGTCGACTACGGTACATATGCCATCGTTTCTCTATATATAGATAGGACCTGTGTGCGGTCTTTCTAAAGCCCAGAGTACTCGTAATATGGCGCCTAAGATAAGTCATATCGCAAGGCATTAGCATCCATGCATTCTGTTTTATTGCATGGGGTTCCTAACACGTCCATATCGTGTCTGTTTTAGTAGCGAACTTAGGCAGGATTAAAGATATCCATGTCGTAAAGACAACATCATGCTTCAGCATCAAGGGAACACGCAATTCTGTGAGCAATCATGTGGTGGCGAAGATGCACTAGCGTGACAACGGGATATTGCCATAGTAAATTCAAATTTCGGCGAGACGAGTATGGATTGCCGGCGTGAAAGCGGCCCAAGATGCCGCTGGAAGTGTCATGATCAAAGGGTCTAAAACAGCAAAACCTACGGAAACGATGACAAGGACGGTTTATTGGCAACGTCTAAACGCAAGGTGAAAACAAACGAACTAATATCGAAGATGCTCCTGGCGGCTCAACGTAGAAATTATACAAAGTTTGATGCATATGTTGTGCTCCAATATTTTCAGAGTCGCGGCGACGCGGCTCTTGCGAGCCTAGCTTAAAGCAGGATATGCATACTACCAATACGGAGTAATGTTCTGACATTCGCAGATTGATTTATCGATTGGCAAATCTGTCGATCCTGATGTTACAATGAAACACCGCCAAACGGCGCGTGCCCACAAGTGCCGCGATGCCATGATGCCCGCTGCCCCAGCCTTCCAAAGTTTGGAACAGACGGCGGGACCCTCTCGGGGTTGTACTGCAACTGGCATGAAGGGGTCTGGGCATGAGTCTCTATGACGCAAAATGGGATCAATTGATGGACTGGATATGGGATTTTCAAGGACGGGAAATGGACAAAAACCGCTATTTCTTGCGGGACTTGGCCAACTTAGCGGGAGAGGTTGCAGGGGGGCCAGGGAGTCGGTGTGCCATGGGATGGCCTAACATGACGGCTGATGATAGTGAGTGGCAAGAGGTTACCGCCCCGGTGGGTCCGATTCAAGCACGAGGCTGGGGTGAAGAACGTGGAGTATTGATGCGGTACGGAGTACGTAGTTTTTTTTTTAATGCAAGAAAGCACTCGTACCCCTTGAGGGCTATGTGTCAGCTGGATCCCAGATGGTCCAGATGGCGTCTTCCTTTGTCCGCGTTTTAACCGGAGAATAGAACCCACAGGCAAAGAAGAGAAGAAGCTCTCCGGCCACAACCGTTGGGCTTCTGACGCGAGGGATTGGCTGTGCTCCGTAGAGTACAACGAAGGAGAAATGGTACGGCACGCAAACGCACATACTATTTTGTTGTAGTTTTTGCTAGTAGTCTGGTCAGTCATGGCCCAGCAGAGACAAGTTCATTTGGTGGCTCCAGATGTTAGATTGCAACTGGTTACCTGGCCCTGGTTAGGGGTGTGTGTTCCTTCACTTGGCCATGACCGTGCAGCCGTGGTACCATAGGACCCAATCAACAGTTTAGTCGACCCAAGAGCTCTGATAGATTCGGAGGTACCGACAGGATGCCGGAAGAAAAGAGCCAGCGTTACGGTCTACCTTGACATCGTCACGGCGGAAATGGTATGGGCTGTGGCAAAGTGCTAGCGTCGCAGCCAGGAGGTCCTGAGCGCTAAAATATCTTGCCCAGTCGAAACAGTCCTGATCAATCATAATATGTATGTATGTAAAACGGAGTATGTGCTCTGTAGATCCCCGACGGAGACAGGTAAAGATTGGTGCCTGGTAAAATACACGAGTTGGTGACGAGTCAGGGGCAATCGTGGATGAAGCGACGAAGCGAGGTCCAGAAGAAGACATAAATGGTACTCTGTACTTCGTACTTATGAGAAGTTACAGGTCAGGTAATTTGAGTATGTTTTGCTGAGGGCTTTCTGGGATATTGTTTTGGTGTTGTTGTCAACGACTGCAGGTGATACGAGACGCCACCGATGCACAGATTATGCAGCCGACAGGAGCAGGAAGGAGCGAGCACCTGCGCGGTTCCTGACATCAATTGATCCGGATTTAATGACCGTGATACAGAATGAGACGTTCGCTTGCATACCCGAGGCAAAAAGACAACACAACTACTACTCCGTACTCCTGGATAAAAGAAAGGTATACGCGCAATTCTCGTCGTGCCAATGCCTTGAATTTTGCGGACATACGGAGTACTTGACCCAACATAAACTTACATGCTAACTGTATCGTCCAGGACATAACTAAAGACCAGACCGCACCGCTCCCCTGTTACAGAATTGGACAATCAGCTCTCGCTGCGGAGCAAATACCTACATGCACGCACACCCGGTCATTGTCATCGCCCGATCGCCATCGCCAGTCCTCCAGAGTCCACTTTGCGACCAGGGTTCATGTTTGCCGGCTTGATTTCATTGGGGAACAGAACAAGGGCGGGAGGGTGCTAGGTTACCAGCACTAGAATGGTACGGACTGGACTGCAATGTGCTCCGAACCGTTGTTATCTCAATAATTACCTAGGTAATTATACCTACGTTTTTGGACCCGATGGAGCTCCTATATCATCTCCAAGCTCAGATCTGCTCCTTGTCGATTCTATGTGCCTATCTTGTATTATCGGCATTCTGTATCCTCCAAATAAACCAAGCGTGCAGCTAATACTACCAGGCCAGACCTCTCGTCTTCCAGCCCTCGTCCCGCAACTTGACGCTAAAACTATCGTCCCATCCTTCCGATGTCCCCTCTGGCCCACCCATGCCAGTGATGGATCCTTTGGCGCCCACTTCGCCTGACCCTGATCTGGACTCTTCTAGCCCAACCAACCGGCCAACCGCTGGCATTCCCCCCACAGGTTCTCTGAACAAGACCAAAATGAAATATCAATGGTTGACCCCTGTCGGGCCCCGCGCCAAGTTGGGAAGGGATTGGCATTGTTAGTCCAATGGAAAGAGCTTCTCAGCAGCAATGTCCTTGCACTCGGCCATTCAACCCAAAACCGTACCTGACCCTTGGTCGGTCACTTCTCATGTTGTATCCCCAGTATCGTCCCCGGACGACTTCTCCATCTTCAACCTCTCTCATTAATGTATCTTCTTGTTACTATTCATTATACATTCTGTGCATCTTCTCGCTGTGCATATTAGTCCTCACTTAACCTTTCTAATTGTATCTCGACTTTTCTTGTCTTCAATTTGTTATATTGTTCTTACTTGGCGTGCATTTTCTTCCGAGAGAAAGCAAAAAGGGCCTATTTTATTTGCCCAAGCGAATGCTCCATTTCTATGTTCCTTGATCTGGTTCGTTCCGCTGTTGGCATCATATTTTCAAGTTGTACGTCGTCATATCCTCCCATGACTGACTTTTCAGGGGTTTTACATACTAACAAGCCTCCGATTTTCCGCAGACATGGCGGAGCACTTATTCATACGCATTCCATTTGTCGTTCGTCCTTCGACGAGGCTGCAGTGACCCCTTCCACTACAGTGGGGCTCGCGATGCTTCACAATAATTTCTAATCGCTTGACTTGCTGTATATTCTGGCAGCTGTCTGCTTCTGAAATCCTGACTTTTTACCGACCTCGTGGCATCGCTTTGACTGGCTTCTTAAATGATTGGACTGGAACGCGCCTCTCATCACGACTCCTCCCCAATTGCCATTTCTGTGTCCTTTGGACCGTGGCCAACCTTGTTGACCTGCCGAGGGCTGATTCGTGGCCTGCAACATTTGGTAGTTTCGTCACTATTCCATCATGTTCCCAGCTGTACTTCTACTGCAATTGGCATTATGGGCCGTGTCCACATCTGCCTTTTACCCGTACACGCCAGGATGGCTCAAAGAAAAGGAGGATGTCACCCTCGACGAGGCCAAAAGAAGTTCCGCTGTAGGGGACGCTCGAGATGGTTTAATATTTAGAATCGAGAAGAGAACGCAGGTTAGTAGCCGTGCTATACCCGGTGCCTGGCGGCGCCACCAATTGTGAGGATGCTTCATGCTAATCTACGCGGCAGGAAAATGAATCTCCTGCTGTGCTAGCTGCAGAGCAAGCTGCCTGGCTGAAGCACAAATTCAAACATAGTCGTTCTGGAGCGCCCGTCAACGCTGTGGAGAAAAGAGCAAGTCAATACAAAATTATGGAAGCCACTGAACCAAGCGAAGTCATGGCTGCCGGAATCACTCAGGATGGAACCGATTACTCATATTTTGTGAAAGTAGGGCTGGGTTCCAAGGGAAAGCAGGTGTATTTACTTGTTGACACTGGCGCTGGGTCAACTTGGGTTATGGGATCGGGCTGCACCGATACACCCTGCTCCACGCACACCACATTTGGCCAGGGTGATTCAAGCACATTTACCGATGTCGGCAAATCTTTCTCCGTTTCATATGGATCTGGAGCGGTTCAAGGCAAACTAGTTACTGATACCATTAACGTTGCTGGTATCAGTTTGAAGTACACTTTCGGTCAGGCTTCGAAAACTTCGGATGTGTTTTCGCACTTCGCATTTGACGGCATTTTAGGTATGTCCATGGGACAGGGCGACAGCGACAACTTCCTGAAGACACTGGTGGAAGCCAGGAAGCTTGACAAGAACTTGTTTAGCATCCATCTCAACCGGGCATCAGATGGATCGAACAACGGCGAGATCAAGTTTGGATCAACAAATCCCAACAAGTATACAGGGGATATTAGCTACACCTCGATTGGCTCCAAAAAAGGTGACTGGGCTATTCAGATCGACGACATGGCCTACGATGGCAAAAAAGCAGATGCTGGAGGTGTGCTGAGCTACATCGACACTGGCACTTCGTTCATTTTTGGGCCCCCCAGTTTAGTCAAGAAGATTCACAACACTATTCCGGGATCCTCTAGCTCTGACGGGCTGACTTACACTGTTCCCTGCTCAAGTAACAAGTCATTGTCATTCACGTTCTCCGGGGTTGATTACAAGATCTCTTCCAAAGATTGGATATCGCCAAAGGACAGCTCAGGCAATTGTACCAGTAACCTTTACGGCCACGAGGTTGTTGATGGGGCATGGCTTCTGGGAGACACATTCCTCAAGAATGTCTACGCAGTTTTCGATGCTGACCAGAAGCGAATCGGGTTCGCGGCTCCAGCTGACTTCAAGGGCGGACCAAGCTCCAGTTCCAGCAGCGGCAGCAGTTCGCCAACACCGACAACTGTAGGTTTAACTACCGTCGCTACAACAGCACTGACGACCGGTGAGACGTCTCAGCCTGACTTTTCCACACAGTCCAAGCGACCGCCACTTGGTCTAAGCGGTCATGAAACGGGTTCTACAAGATCTAGCAGCGCTACTGCCAAGCCAACGGAATCTACAAAATCAGCGGCACCAGACGCGAGTGCACGGCAAACCGCCAAGCTAGCCGTTGTGTTTTTTTTTGCAGCTCTGGCAGCATTGGTTGCGTGAGGAGAACAAATAGCATAGCCCTGCAGTCTCCGCAGCGTTGTGTGAGCAGCACTACAAAACTAAACGTTATTGGCGAAGAACTTTGTACGCCCGTCATATCTCCCATGGCAACAACCTACGGAAGTAGAGCTGGGACAGGGAATCGATGGGCGGCATTGGCTACAAATCGGAGCGGGTGTTTTGCTTGTTGTCAGCGAGACATGAGCGAGAGACGATGTTTGATACCCATATGAGTCCAGGCAGATGAGTGCGATGGACGTTTAAAGTTTACAGCAGAGGGTGTTGGTATGATCTTTTTGGGAGAGTTCTGTATACTCCGTATTTGTACAATATTTAATATGACTCAAGGCACAAGTATATAGGGAGTGCTAATTTCATTCGGTTTCACAACGGCATCCAGTACGCTGCTTGGTAATTAAACCAGGTACCAGAAGGTAATGTAGGGCATGCTCGATGCTGGCAAAGGAGTCTGGGGTCTGTGGAGTGCTCTGCAATCATCTGCCTACCTAGTAGGCACTTAATTACTCGTGATGGACGCGTCTGGTCGTTACTGCCGTCGGTACTGGATCAATTGATATCCTACGCATCCAATAGAGCACTATGAAGCAGCGGATTGTACTGTGCAGGGAGTGGGGGTTTACTCGGTAACTACTCCGTACCTGTTGCATCAATTTGATGCCCCTTTCTAGCTTCAAGTTGTGGAACACGGCTGGTTATGTACGGCTGCCGCAAGCTGGCCAATCAAGGCGCCGCATTGAGCTGGCGTAGGGGGCCGCAAGAGACGTCAAGACGCTGAGCGCGGCAGCTTGCTGGGTGTTGAGATCTCACAGCCCACTCGCAGTCCATTTGCAGCCACGTCTATGTCTGGTTGTACATCTTCAGCTCGACCATCTACACCACAACTCATTTCGTCCTCGGTCAGTCATTTGCATTTCTTTCTCTGCTCTCACAGCCGGCTACATTCAGTTGCTCGACTCTGTCCGCGATCCCGGGGCGAGTGTCCAACGCGCGCATTCCGCTGCACAGAACAAAGGGGGTCGGATGAAACCCCTACTTCAACCGCAAGGCAAAGATGTCTCTGGCGAGCAGCCGCATTTCCCTTTCTTGAACAATGAGCGAGGCCAAGAACAATGGCGAGCCGAATCGGCACGAGGAAGCCCACGGATTGTTGGCCAGCAGCGACTTTGATGACCATGAGGACGATATCGTCGTCTACGCGGGCAATGAAGACGGCAAGCAAGAGCAAGGCAGCCACAGCGACACATCGCCGTCGCCGCCTAAAGCAAAAACACCACGGACGCCGAACCGAGTGCAGTTTGATTTGAACCCTGCTGTTATCGGAGAAGCAAATGGATCCGCTCACGTCGGGAGGAGGTCGTCCTCCGACGAGAGCTTCGAATTTGACGACGATGTGGAAATCCAGGGCCACCACTCGCATCGGGTGCCCTTGCTGACCGACATGGAGGCACCTAGCGTCGCCGTTGCGAATACACTTGGAAATGATGCAGACGACGATGGCGAACGATTAGAACAAGCGATGCGACGGCCCAAATCGGGACTTAAATCGGCCTTTATGAACATGGCCAACTCTATTATTGGAGCTGGCATCATTGGACAGCCATATGCTCTTCGACAGGCAGGTCTCCTGTCCGGCATACTCTTACTCGTTGGGCTGACAGTGGTGGTGGACTGGACCATTTGCCTCATTGTGATTAACAGCAAGCTGAGTGGGACGAGCAGTTTCCAGGGCACCGTAGAGTATTGCTTCGGACGCCCCGGTCTCGTGGCCATCAGCCTGGCCCAGTGGGTGTTTGCCTTTGGCGGCATGGTAGCGTTTGGCGTCATTGTGGGAGACACGATCCCCCATGTGCTGGTTGCCATTTGGCCGAATCTGGGCACGGTGCCAATCCTCGGACTCTTGACGGACAGGAGAGTTGCAATAGCAGTGTTTGTAATGGGCGTGAGCTATCCATTGACCTTGTACCGCGATATTGCGAAACTGGCCAAGGCGAGCACCTTTGCCTTGATTGGCATGTTGGTCATTGTGGCGACGGTGGTGATCCAGGGATTCTTTGTGCCGTCCGAGGCCAGGGGTTCGTTTAGTGCGCCGCTTTTGACTGTAAATGGGGGTATTTTCCAGGCCATTGGTGTGATTTCGTTTGGTAAGTAGTCCTTCTTCACCCATTCTCTCTTCTGGGCCGAAGCCCTCCCGTACTGCAAAGCTGCGGGCTAATTGATACATACTGGAGTAGCTTTCGTTTGTCACCACAACTCACTGTTAATCTACGGCTCTCTCAAAACGCCCACGATTGACAACTTTTCCCGCGTCACACACTACTCCACAGGCATATCCATGATGGCTTGTCTATTCATGGCTCTGGCAGGATTTCTCACATTCGGAGACAAGACGCTCGGCAACGTCCTGAACAACTTCCCCTCGGACAACAGCATGGTCAATGTTGCCCGTCTCTGCTTTGGCCTCAACATGTTGACCACCTTGCCCCTGGAGGCCTTTGTGTGTAGAGAGGTGATGCTCACATATTGGTATCCCGATGAAGACTTCAACCTCCGGCGGCACATCATCTTCAGCACGGGACTGGTAGCATCTGCCACGGGCATCAGCTTGCTAACATGCGACTTGGGCGTGGTGTTTGAGCTGGTCGGGGCAACGAGTGCTGTTGCCATGGCGTACATACTGCCGCCCATGTGCTACATCAAGCTCACGACGAAGAGTTGGCGAACGTACATGGCGTGCGCGGTAGTGGTGTTTGGCGTCGCTGTCATGGTGATTAGTGTGGTTCAGGCAGTTGACAAGATGGTTCACGGTGAGTCGTCCTTGTGGTTTTGTTTTGATTTAAAATTTTCTAAATCTTGCTTGCGTACTAATGTCACGCAGGGTCCGACGAAGTGACCCAGTGTGTATGATGTAAAACTGGAAATATACATGTAACTATAGATGAGGTGGGATTAGGTGTTGCGGGATACATTCACGCAAACACCACGGCGATATCATGGGTGCAAGATTCTCATTGTATTCATAGCTCGGGTTCTGTCTTGCATCAAGCACACGGCGTTGGGATAGAATGATAATCTACAGATTTTACAAAATGAATCGCACAAAGCTACACCGTGGAGGCTACCGAGTTTCCCAGCCAGCATCCGGCAAAGAGTCATGCATACACGCCATGGACTAAACTCCGTCAATGCTGAGGCCCGACGACGTACAAAATGTAACCGTTCAGCCGACCCCAATACCAATAAGCAGAACCTCCGCATGCAAGCCGCCGCCGTGCCCGCAAACAAAGTCAAGATAACAGCAAAGCTCCGGCTACGTCACACAGCAGCCTGCGCATCTTTCCCCACCACCAAGACTATCCAAATGCCTTGTCATCACGAGGTCCAGCCCACACCTCCTCAATAGACCAGTCACCACGTCGCCTCAGAATCCCACAAGCCTCTGCCCAAACGACAACATTGCCAACGAAGCAGCGATATCTGGAATCCGAGTAGCATCCCAGCCCGTACATACGACAAGCCACCGCAAAAACTCGGAAAAGCAAAAAAAGAAGAGAAAAAAAGAAACAAGGGGCACCAAGAAAGGGCTCCAAACAGCACCATCAACAACAACCGGTCCCAAAACAACATCAAATCCCAAAACCCGCACCTCGCAAACCCCCGCCTCCCCCAGACCCTAAAACAACTGCCCCTCCCCGCCCCTTTTCCCCCCCAAACCAACGAACGAACCACTACCTCTGCATTTCCAAAAGCAAAAAGCAATACAAAAACAACCAGCAATCCATATATCCCGCTTCACCATGCCGCCCATCAACAACAACCACTCCTCGTGCCCCAAGTGCAGCGCCAGCATCTCCAGCGGCAGCAAAACATGCTCGTCCTGCGGAGCCGTACGTTCCTCCCCTCCCCCCCTTTCCCTTCTTGCAACCAAGCCCTCTCCTTCTCCTTTTCACCCCCAGCTCAAGTACCAAGCCTAGCTTCGGTAGCTCACGGCTAATTCACATGCTGTTACTAGACTTGCCCCAACTAGTTTCGGTTCAACGTGCCAAACGATGCCGGCACATCTCCATGAGATGACGAGAGTTTGTGATGACGGCGATGAGATTACGACGTGTACGGCGGGATTTTTTGTTTTGAAAGCATTGGCATGGAATGTAGATTCTTTTGTGGTGGTGCATGGCCCATGGTGGCGGCGTTGATGGCACTAGACGATGATGTATTCATTCATTGGTGGTTGATGTACGGGGACATGGAGCATACACGGGCGGATTATGACGGTATCCAAGTAGAAAGGACCGGGTATCAATAATGCAAGCAGTCTTGTCAACGGAGTGGCTTCCCATGTGCTTACTACTGACGCAGGCTGTTGGACCTTGGAAGAACATCCAAGACGCTCACTCTCGTCCTCAGCGTGGCCAAACACCAATCTTCGTCAACATGGTCGTGTCAAGCGACAACCCGACATTGTGCCCCAAAAACTACGGGCCTCACCGCCGTCATCACCTCACTCTTTAAGGAAAAGAGAACCGTAATTTGTAAAACACTACTACGATTGTGCTCTAGGAATCGCAACAAACGTGAAAACAAAAAGATTTATGATGTAACCATCCTCAGCGTGCCGCGAATTGGCACCGCTCAATGTGCGACCAATCCACAACTTACACCCATCTTCCCCTTTATCTGCAGGCCCCATGGTCAATCACCTCCAGCCCCGCAGAACTCAAATCAAAACACGTCCCAATATCAGGCCCGCCTTCCTCCGTAAAGCGACAAATACATAAAAATAAACTAGGCGTCCTCCTGTCTGCCTGCCAGATCCGACAAGTGATCGGCTCTTCGCTCCCAAGAATCTCTTGCCGCCACATATATCTTGTAAATTTATTTCCTTCGGAAAATCGTGGGGCAAAGGGCCAGGCAAGAATACCATCTTATTACGTCCTCAAGCGCTCCAAAGTCCGTCTGTACAGCCGCTACAGCCATCCGTAGATTCAGGACAATACACAAATATAGTAACAGTGGGGGGGAAATCGAGAGGAATCAGGCGCAAGCAAGTTTCGAGTCGGCCAAGTGTCCACTGGCGGAGCAAGACACAGATGTGACGAAATATCAAACTCCAAATTCCGAAAACCTCAGCAGAGTAGAGCAGCCTGCACCATCTATGGCCGTTTCCAACCCAAGTCATCCGAACAGACGTGCCAAAAAGTTTGAGATTTGCATTGGAAAGATAATTGCATGGCAGGGCCATCATGCCGAAGAAAAAGTCAGGTGCGGTGTGTTCGGTATAGACGGGCTCGCGACCTGGCCGCTTTACAGAACAAGACACTTCTTGTCCCTCTTACGGCTGGTGCGAGACAGAAGAGCAGCACGGGTAGCGTGCTCGAACACCTCGCGGACACCCTCGTTGGTCTTGGCTGAGCATTCGAGGTATTTGTAGGCACCAATCGACTTGCGCTTCTCCTCACCCTGTTGAAATACCGAGTTAGTCAGAATGGACATGGGCCTTCAATTTCATCCGTGCCGGTTAGACCCAGCAGTCTAGGGCCTTTATGTTGTGATAAGATGTTTTTCTTTCTGACTGTACTTACCTCCTCAGGGGTGACAGGCTTCTGATCAATAGCCCGCAGCTCACCAATCGTCTTGTTATCATATCGCAGATCCTTCTTGCAGCCAACCAAGATAATGGGCAGTCCCTGGCAGAAGTGGAGGACTTCGGGGATCCACTAAGAAATGAGAAAGAATAGATTGTCAGCTTTCACTCCCAACCGTCATCCTAGTACCAATACAAATACTCTTGCATCAGGTGCCATAAAAGAAACAAGAGGCTGGGGCGCCAAACCTTTTCTTCAACGTTTTCCAGGGAGTCGGGTGAGTCGATAGCAAAGCAGATCAGAACGACGTGGGTGTCAGGGTAAGAAAGGGGACGGAGTCGGTCGTAATCTTCTTGTCCAGCCGTATCCCACAAGGCCAGCTCGACATGCTTGCCATCGACCTCGACATCGGCGACATAGTTCTCGAAGACGGTGGGGACATAGACCTGAGCTTGTGCGTCAGCAAAATAGATCCAATAAGGCCAATCTTCAAGGTCGCCTGAGCTGCCTGAATGCTCGCTTGGGCGAGGCGGTGCAACGAGGGTGAGTATTGTAATCGAGTCGTCCGACGTCACGTCAACCACGCCAACGACGATCTTGTTTCGATGCTCGGGTGTGCTGTCTGTGTTTTCTGGTGATTTGTGGTCGGGGACGGAGATTGGAGATAAAGAAATCCGAAAGGAGGCAGCACACTGCTATCAGTTCCTTACCTCGGGGAATGTGCCCTTGGAGAAAACGCTGCATAGGCAGTTAGCAACATGATTGAATGAATCAACCAGACGCAGTTGATGATGAGGATTCCGGTCATGGCGACGGAGGTGATGGCGGTGCTGGATGTCGGCCTCTTGGATCAGGGGCATACGACAACATGGTGCTGCGTGGGTACGTGGGTGCGTGTGCAGCAGATACGGGCTCGCAGAAGGCTGGGTGCAAAGGTGAAGGAGGCAGACAACAGCAAACTTACATCAACAAGCAGGTTTTACCACAGGCACCGTCGCCGACGATGACGAGCTTTCGGCGGATTTCAGCCATGGCTTGTGAGATTGATTGCGAACTGATGGAGGATAGAGCGACGGAACGGAGCTGTTGAGATGCACGAAGGCAAAGGGGAGGCAGAAGTTGGGAGTTGGATAGGTTTGGATGGGGTGGAGGAGTACGAAGTACGGAGCAGAGGAAGGGAAGGGAAGGAGGTGGCAGGAGGTGGAAGGAGCAGCCGAGCAGTTAGTTGCGTGTTGTCTGTTGCAGAGGCAGGCGAGCCGCGCAGGACTGGAGGCAGGACCAGACTGGAGGCAGGCAACGCAGCAAGGCAACGCACGTCAGCGCCAGAACGGGGCATGCAAGCTGTGACAGAGGGCGTCCAGCGACAGCAGCTGCGAGCTGCGAGCTCAGTCAACCAGACTGATTGACGTACATGGCGAGCCAGTCAGTCCACAGAGCATGTCTGCGTGTGCGTACAGAGTTACAGGCACCAGTCTACTGCACCTGGCAGAGCACACCAGAAGTTGACAACTAAGCTCCAGAGTCAGCAGACCAGACTGCACCTGCGCCTGCGGCGGCGCAGTGAGTTCAATGTTCCGGACTGGACATGGAACCAGGAGTGGCCAGCAGTGGCCAGCAGCCCCCGGAGGCCCGTC